AAACCTGGCCTATAAAAGCACATACGCTCATGCTGTATACAGATAGCACCAACGCTTCACAAGTAGCAGGTACTCCAGAGGAGCAGTCCAACCTTCTGACAGCCACAAAGAGCTTGTGTCAAGAGCCCACCACAGCTGGTTAAAGCTCCTCTTTGTGGTGCTCAGCCAATGCACTGAACAGCAGCCCCATACGCAAGTCCTGCTTGCATCTAATTTCATAGCTCTGCAACAGCCCCAGCCCCTGGCTCTCGGTTTGCTCCTGGAGGACTTCAGGGACAGCAGATAGAGTGGGAGTGGTGCTGGTAGCTGAGAGGGCTGCGAGGTCCCCGAGACTTTCCCACCTCATGCAACTGAGAAGCCTTGCAGGCTCAAAGGCCTCACTGGTCTTTGCTCCCACAAGGCTTTCCACTGGGCATGAGCCCAGTCAGGGACATTGCTGGCAGTATGGCAGTTCGAATAGCCTGAGTCCTGTGTAAATCTCAGAAAACTAAATTCATCTTCTCTCAGGTACAGCTGGAAAGGGGCTATGGGAGCATTAGCTTTCACTGAAGATAAATGAAAGAAATATTTAGAGTTTCTAGGCCCTATCTTTTTTAAGTAAAATATTTAAAACCCTGGTAAAAGCACAGCAGGAAAAGCTGACTTGTACAGAGAGTGAAGGTATCTCCTCTGAAATATCCCATCTATATGGGAAATTTTCACTCATTGTCCTTCACTAGTGGGAGACCTATGCCGAGATATCTCCAGCAGAAAGCATTTGTTCAGTTACAAGGAAAGGGAAGATAAATCAGTGAAGCTTTTAGTGTGAAGCTTTCCCTATGGAGTTGTTCCATTGTAAGGTACATGAATACATGAAGACGCCAAAGGCAAGAAGAAAGATTTTTGGCTTGAAAGGAAGAACTTAAACTTTGGTTAGGGCTTACTTTATACTGAACTTGTACATATAGGAGAAACACTTTACTGCAAAGAAACTCTTAAGGGGAAACCCAGATGGTGAGACCAGAGGAAGGGCTATCCAGGCCTACATTTGAAAAAGCTTTGCAAATGTGAGTACTTGGCTACGAGTATAGAAAAATAGCATACCCGTAACTGGTCTGGCAAAAGTAGATGGGTAGATGCAGTCTAGATGCAGTTGTACGAATGTGAGCAAGAGGTCCCACTGGAGCACCACAACTAGCTACGGCCTCTTCAGGGAATGGGGAGAGTGATTAAAACAATTCAAGGGCAAGGATGCAGTATGAGCACAAAATACAGTGTGAAAAACATGTTCATTTGTTGCTTTGGTATGTAGACTGTGCCTAAGATAAGAAACTACATGTGTTTAATTGGAGGTAGGTAGAGGAATCAAGGCTAAAGTAGATAATTTGCCTTAGTGAGTGTATGAAGTTTAAAAAAAAAAAAAAAAAAAGAGGTGCCAGTATAATTTGGATAATTGTAGGAGAGTTTTAGGATGCAGTCTTGTGAGATTGCCTATGACTATGCAACTGTACCAGTAACACCATGTAAGGCCAAAATTGCCTTAGTAATAGCATTAGAAACACCATATTTGGGTACAGATGTAGAACAATTGAGACCATTGGGGAAATTAATTGGGATGGACTGTTTATTTGGGAGAAGTTTGGGCAGAGAAAGAGAGGTATAAAAGCAGCAAAAAGGTGGGTTCAGAAATAGAAAAAATGGGGAGTAAAATCAGGTAAAGAACAAAGGAGGGTGTGATCTTCAAGCAGTAGGAACGCAGACGCATACAAATGTAAACATCGTCTCTTAAATCAGTTATGTCTCAAGCTTGCAACCTAAAAGGTAAAAGCTGGACCCTGAAGTAAGAAGCAACAAAAAAACCTCTTTGTTGCTATACTTTCTTTCATTCAAAGAGCTGGTACTGGTTATTGCTAAGAGAGGATTTGCTGATGCAATTTTATCAGCAATCTTGTATTGACAAACCTAAGAAGATACAGACATTGATCTAAGATTTATTTGCTGATTAGTCTGCTGTCTTTGTATCTTTTACTCTTCCTGATATTACAGATATGACAATCTTCTTGATAAGTAACAAGAGGCATTTTCACTCTTTAATACTCCGGAAGTACCCAAACTAGGTGAAGAGTACTCTTGATACATGAAGCCACCCACTTCCTCACTTCAAGTAAATGGCTCTCTTTACAGGCGTTTTTGTGCTGCTTATCTCCATGGTCAAAGCCTTCAGTCAGACAGATAAAGAAACATGCTTGTTGGTCAGCCAAGCATCCTGCCAAAATAAAATTCCCACTGCCAGCACTGATACCACTTCATTTCAATGTAGCTTCTCGTCCCACAGGCTTCGGCTGTTTGAAGGGAAAGCAGTTCCCCGAACAGATGGAGTTGGTAATAAAGCTCCTTCTAGGAGATACAAGGATTACACAGAGAATGAAATGGCGAAACAGTGTCTGGAGTACACATTGTAAACTTAAACCACTCAAAGTAAAATTCCCTTCCTACTGAGAAAAACATGGTGGGGAAAACTGGAAGTGACAGCGTAGCTTTCCAAAATGTTAAATATCAAGGCTGTTTCCCCTCAGAACACTGGCTATTGAAACTATTTGTGAGATGCATTCCAACCTTGCACCCACAAAAAATCTTGTGACTTGTCATTTTGAGTCAGTGTCAGGAGCACTGCCAAAAACAAGGATGAAGTAGCTGTCTCAAAAGAGCAAGAGAGAGTCTATGTACCAGACGGGGAAATAGCGCAGGCATTTGCCTATATATATCAGAGCTCCCAAGCTCAGCTACGAAGTTGCATTCAAGTTCTGCTGGGAGATCTGCCCCTGTCGTCCCACTTTCAGTGAAGCAGAAGGACTTGCACCCCAAGAGTCCAGCCTCCTCCTACTTTCCCAGACTGTCTACTTCTGCTTAGACTAAAATCTCCCCAAGGAATAGTCCAGTCCTTTGGACAACTGGAGAGCACCTACCGCACTGCTTCAGCGATGAGGAACGACTGCTTCGTGCCAACACTTCCGAAGCCATGACCACCAGAAGCACCGTTCCCAGCAGACCAGGTGGAGAAGGGAAAGGGGAGCTAAAGAACAAGCTCAGTGTCCAGATAAACCATTCCAGTCCAGACTAGGGCTCCATTTAACCTAGTAACCTGTCCCCAGGCGTGTCTGTGAGCCAACATGCAGAGAGGAGTAAGGGCAGAGCAAGCATGTATGATACTTCTTTCACATACTTTCCCAGCTTTCAAAAATTTTCATCTCAGGAGAGGTCCTGAGCCTAATGTGATTCGTCTATTTAGCGATCCCCAGTGGATCGCTCTCTCAAGTATTTGCCCTATCACTTGATTTGCTTTGTTAATTGTTATTGAGCATTAAGCTGACATTTTAAATCAAGTACTGTGATGATGTCATTCAAAAAAAATGTTGTCATTACACTCACACACTGCTAATCCACACTGCTTTCCATTTTGTAATAAATTTCTATATCCAGTTTTAACTGCCCTTGTAGACCTCGGTGGGAAGTGACTTTTATTTTATGTATGTGATTTAAGTTTACATGTATGCCAGTAATCCTAGATATTATCTCTCCTTATTATTCCCTATGTAATTTCACTTGCTTTTATCAGCTATTGGCCAAATATGACCAAAAGTCCATTCAAAGCAGACAGATCTGTAATGCCAAATCTCTTCACGTGACTAGTATATATGTTCTGTGCCTAAGGATAGCTGTCTGGCTTCCCACCCTGGCCCTGGACATAATTTACCATTATGATAGTATCCAAACACATGAAGAGGGCCTGAATCTCATTACTCAAAGTAAAGTCTCTTGGATTGCATTGAATTGGCTTTTAAATTTAATACATCATGGCTGAAATTCTGTCCTTCTTCTTAATCTATGGTATTACTTTTATTACCTTCATTCAGGCCAGGATTTCACCACAGGAACAAGTCTAGTTTTTAGCATTACTCCCTAATGATCTTGTAAAATGCTTTTCTGTTTGCTAAGGTACATAGACTTTGTCTCCTTCACCTTCAGTCAATGGCAGAACAAATGATGATATCTGTAGCCTTCGGTGCAAGAAAGGCTGAGATGGCCAAAGTAACATTTTACCCAACTCTGCCGTGCTACAGAGACAGCTTTCTCTTTGTCTCCATCTTGGAGAAGAGTACTGCAGACATTTGCTTGAGGGTTGAATTCAGCTTATACATTTTTTCCAGTTGTCACTCTGTTTCAGGAAAGACCTTTTTGGCAACTGATTTTTGAAATTCTATTCCAAATCCTGAATCGGAGAAGTTTACTGGAGATGAGGCAATTCTTCCTCCCTTCCTTATTGATCATTCCTTGCCATCTGCAATATTCACTAATTTTTGCATGCAGCATAGCTTTAAAAAAAAAAAAAAAGCTAGTCTGAATGCCAAATGCACAGTGTTACTAGTGGACAGTTAAATAACCAAGAGAAAGGAAGGAAAAAAAAAAGAAGTCTACATTTACCTGAACTTATTGTTAAATAGTACAGTCTTAAGAACCACCAAATAAAATGAATGAAAATGCAATTATTAGCATAGTTAAGCAGAAAGGATTCATTTCTAAAAGTTTCAAGACTTGGTTGTTTGGTGAGTCAGCTTTATTAGACAAACCTTCCTTTCTCCTAGCAGAGAGATTTGTTGCCAAAAGGAACACAGAAACCAAACTGGCCACCTTGCAAAAAATGGTACTACCTGGTGTAATTAAGATGAGGCAATTTGGTCCACAATGTTTTGCAGCCAGAAGGGGTAACAAAGCTTGTCTGAAGCCTTGACCCAAACGCTTTGACCTCAGGAGAAGAAACTGACAGTGGGATTAAAACTCAAGTTTGCTGTATTGTTCCAGCAGGCGCTAAGGCTGCGCTACACAGCGCAGTGAGTAGGTGTGATTAGCTCATTTGTCATTAGTTGAAGCTAACGTGAAACAGAAAGCAGAAGTCTGAGCACACGGAAGTAGCACCCTCCAATTCTGATTAGCTTCTTGTTTATACCACGTTGTGGTAAGCTACAGGCTGCACTGGCTCACTTAACTCTTCTGCAGGCGTCAATGTAGTAACTTCTGTCTCCCTCCGAGAAAAAGGAACGGAAACCTCCCTCCACAGAGGGGTAGCGAGAGACAGAAGGAAGTAATTCTACAAACTACCACCACCACCATGAAGACGTTCAGTGTCCTCGCGCTCATCTTAGTCCTGCTCTGCATCAATGCCAGCGCAGAATGGCCTACGCACACAGTCTGCAAAAAGGACAACTTGGAAATACGTTACAAAAGCTGTGGTGAGACCTTTAAAATTTCCATTTTCCTTTTAGCTGGGCAACAAAGTGGTTCTTATACAGCGAGAGAAGTTTATAAACCAGGCAATGAATGGAAAGGCTACACTGCCAAGCCAGCACTGCGTTTTGTACTTATAATGCTTTTAGTCTTCCAAATATAGCTGGTTTGGTTGACACACACACAGAAACCTGACTGTATTTAGTTGAAAGATAACAGAGATGAAATAATGTAGCCAAATTCAGATTAATAACAGCTGTCAAAAATAGCTCCAATTCAGCGTGAAAGAGAGAACCAGGATTTGTATCTTAAAGCTACGTAAAACCAGCATTGTTTTTTTAAAAAAGTGTTAAAAAAAAAAAAAAAAAAAAAAAAAGAGGTAGACCCTGAATCTTTATCCTTTTTACCCCTGGGATGACACAGAATCTTCAGTGCACTGATCTGCTGTTTTCACAATGTGTGCTTAGGCTGTGGTGATGTGTTTTCTGTCCTCCCACTTAGTGATAAGGGACCTGACGTGACAGTAGGAAGGAATCGTGCTCTCAGACGTCCACCATGCTTAGTGAGACTTCAGCAGCAGCACTTACCAGAGGCATTTCCCAGGCACAATGGGGTTTGTTTGTTCTTCGTATCTGTAAAGAAAAGGAGCAAGAGGCACTGGAATGCCTGGAAATGAATTCACTGAATGGTGCCTGCTTTCCAGCTCTCTTGCTTTGCTAGCCTTGTGCCTCCCTTATTGTGCTGATCTGCTTTACAACTGGGACAAAGGGAATTAGATTCACAGACGCCTCATTCATTTTCCGCACGTGATGTGAAAAGCGATTCATGGCAAATGAGCACCCTAGAGTTTGTTTTTCCAATTCATCCAGATACAAAGGGTTTCCCAGGGGGCTTTTTCTCCTGTGGAGCTTTCATGCAGTTTTGCACACCCGTTAAAATAAAGCCAGTGAGGGACAAGAGAAGTAAATAAATATTTGTAATGCAATTCTTTACTGGCCTGCTCCCAGAAGAACAAAGTCAGGCTTCACATATTATAAATGGATGTCTTGTATTAGGAAAATAATTAATTAGATATTGAATGCAAGCTTTGCTATTACCTTTATTTTAGCAAGAATTCATTGTATAAATTAATTACATTCCCTCAACAGGTCTCACCTACCATGAGATGCTTTGACACAGAGGCACATGCTACAGTTGATCCAAATGATGATGAAATTTGTCTGCTGGGCACGTGTCAGTCAGGCATTGCTTCTTACCAAGCACACCACTAGGCTCACTAACAAAATGCATTTGTTTAGAGCTCATGTATCACTTATTTTAGTTTGCCATGCACAGAAATGTAACAGGTACATTCATTCAGGAGGAGTTCACAGCTTGAGAAGCTCAAGCCAGACATAACACAGGTCAGGTCTCAACATGAGAGAGGGTTTCTGTTCTCCTGGGCACAGCTACAGGAGGTGAGAGGATTACACAGATGTGGAAACAATGCGAGAATTCAATCAAATTCCTTGTTTGAAGCTTGATCCTTCTCCCCCTGACAGTACTGTCTTGCAGATTCAGTTGTGACAGTACTCGCAGCTGCCATCCCAACAGTCTGCCCTGCCTTTTTCCATACCTGCAGCATCAGACCAGGATGCATGTCGGCATCTCAGCTCCAGTTCATCATCTGGTAGTTTGTATAAAACAGAAAAATTATGGTGTTAAGGGCTGAGCCCAAAAAATCTACAGGAAGCCTTCCAGGTGGGGAGCAAAAACCTGAATACACTAGTCCATGTTCCTTCCTTTCAGAAAAGATGCTACTTTTAAAAATGTTTACTGGCCAGCCTGCAATAGCGCCAAAGGCTCTGATCGTCCTCTGAGGAGAGGGGGAACTTTGTCCCTGAATTATTTCACTGTAATCCACAACTAAGTGGGCAGAACTTAGCTTCATTGTTTACACGAGTCCCATCAGCTATTCTCACCCAGGAGGGAACAGGTGTGCTAGTGCCTGCTTTTAACAAAGACGCTTTCCCAGCAAACCTTCTCATAACAACTTTGCAACATTTGCAAGCACGGTGTCAATGCCAGGCAACTGCCCATACGCTTTAGATACTTTGGAGAAAAGAATGTCCCAAAATGACAGGGTTGTTCGTTCTGCAGAATGTTAGCGTGGGATTGAAAAGCTAGAGTAGCTTCCCAACTCTCAGACCAGAGATGGGGAAAAGGGACTATGATAACCTATCTTAGTGGCTACACAGGGTATTCTGCCAAACTGCTGAAGAACAATGATAAGTTAATGATAAATTGCAAAATGAAAACCAAACATATATGTTAAATTGACTCCAGACTGAAGGTATCCAATTTCAACATAAATATTAGTCAACCTCTGTAAAATCTTACTACCTACATGTCCCTTCAGTCTGAGAAATTCTCATGTTTTTTCCTGCTCCGCTGAAGATGTCACAGTGACGCATTTTGGGATACAATCCTTACAATGAGTTTTCTAGTATGAAATCTTGGTGAAAAGCATTCCCCATTGGCTTCAAGAGGGTCAGGATTTCAACTCTTCTGTTGTTATAAATTCCAGGATATCATCTGCGACCCAGGGTAGAATCAGGTAAAATTTAAGGAGGGCAAGAGAATGTTAGCCGAGTACTTCATAACTTCATTTCTGGAGCTGAATGCCCTCTATCAGCAGATAGAGAGTTCAGTCTGAGCATTTAAAATGGAGCTAAGAGTTCATTTTTGCTCTGCAGTTTGTCAGATCCTCCCCTACAATGCAGTAAAAAGCTGCATAGAGCCAAAAATGTGAGTTAATACAACTGTGAGAAAGATAGCATAAAAGCTTAGACAGGGTAACTGAAGATGGATGGCAAAGAGTAGCAATCTTCTGTGCCCAGGAGCCCATCCTAAATCCCTTTTCCAAGCACTTGCCTCAACTGCATCCTACCCCTATAATGGAGTAGGATGCAGGTGTACACCAAGTCCCCACTCTCACTTCATATTCTGGATAACCCATAGAAAGGAAACCTAAGGCTTGTGGGGTGTACAAACACCCCACCACAAATCCCATTCCCTCCTAGTTATGTCAGACTAAACCTTGAGGGACCCATCCCCAGGGCTGGAAAAGATTCTAATGATCAAGTGTTATGCATTTGGAAAAAAAAATCATCAAAAAGAAATCAGAAGAAAATTCTCAGTAACAAGTCCATAGCAAGGAACTCAGGCTGAGAGACAGGTGGTCTAGGAGTGAAGTAAATAGACAGTATACTGCCTCCTCTATATAACCGCAGGAGACATAACACTGAGACAGTCTATAAATAACTAGACATTTCCCATCAGAGCCACTCTTCTTCCCAGGAACAAATGACAAAAATGAAGGAAGATCTCAAATGACCACAAAGCACTTTAGAAACCTGGGCAGGGATCCTAAGATAAAAGCAGCGCAGGTTAACATCTCTGACTGAGGAAAGAGAACATAACTGGCAAGTCAATGCAGAGACATGAAAAGAATCTGCTACACAAATGGCTGATTCTTATCCCTTTTAATTTCACAGTGACTTCTATAGTTATCATGCTTTTGATCTTCCAGTTACATTTTAAAGGCAGTTCTCCAGGAAGGGAAAGTCAGGAAGGCAATGGTAGCTAAGTGCCCCGAGCAAATTCCAGTGCTGCTTCAGTGTCAGGCACCTACTTGAAAGTGCAGGGCAGTTAGAGAGCACAAAATCTCTCTGACATGTCCACCAGCATCTGCTTCTAGACCATTCATATAAGCTTAATTGCGGCACTGTCTGTTAATTAGCCATGAAAACACTCTTACAATGTAGCATTCTAATGATGCTTTTTTCATAGGGTAAGGCAGGAGACTGCTGCTGCAGATCCCTAGGAAATATTTTCCAACTATTTTTACAGCTCTCTTTCGTGAAGTGTTAGTTGGGTCTACGTCAAAAAATCAGTATTTTAGACATCTGTTTTTGTTTCAGCCAACATACCCAGACCGGTATGCTCAGTGATTAATAAAGCTCTACGCTTAGATTAGGACCTTGAAGATTTCAGAGCTGCCTGGTGCTTGAAACCGGAGGTTTCTTGGCAATCCAGAGAAGGTTGCTAGAAGGCAGGAGGTTCTTAGAAAGGGTCTGGAGAGCATCTACTTGTTTTCTATGCCCAGCAGGAACAAACAGGGGATTTCAGGGAGATCTTCAGGAGAGTTAAAGTAGTAGTATTTGGAGATGACATCTGGAAGGATATTCCCTAGGCTTTATAAACCACCGTCCAGACCACATGGGATTTCTGGCTATCAGACATAAACAGATTTCCCAATTCATGTTTGACTTTTTGTTTGCCTTTTTTTTTTTTTAATGTTTTGATCTGAAGCAAGACTAATAGCCATTAGCTAAAGTTTCAGGAAAAGGAAAAGTCAATCAGTATTCATTTCAGAACCTAAACAGAAAACTGATTGCACCCTTTTTTACACCCTTTATATTTGCATATCCACAGATTACAAAAAACAAAAAACAACCCCCCTCCCCCCCATATTCAGGGATATGGGTAACTATTTGCTCTAATTAATGACTTCTGCTAGACATAGTAGCAGGGTCTTCTGCTACTCTTTTGGGAGCTATTTTTATATGCCAATGCCCTTTCCTAAACAGAGTAAAGTTAGACTGAACATACGTCTACTGAGCTGTACAACCGCTTGCATGGCATTATGTCACGCTTCAAGCAGGGTCATTTCAATATAGTTTATTCCTACCCTACAGTGGTACCGTAGGAAACAGGAGTGCTGCCCACTTCACTAAGAGCTTGCATTGGATTATCTTGACAGATAAACTCTCATTTATACTGCCTTTCCTTGAACTTGTGAACTCAGATTCTGATCGCTCTTAAAATGGTCACTGGAAGTCAACAGGGTTATTCTGGTGTAGAATCTGGTCTTTTCAGATAGCTCAGTATAGATGCCCTTGTGTTAAACTCTGCTTTGAGGCACCTTTTTGGTGCTAAAAAAGAAATAAAAGTAGAGACTGATAGACTGGATAGATTACAGTTCTATCTGTCTGTCAGCACTGAATAGTTTCAGTCTTACTGGGGTCCAGCTCACAGAGGCAGCCCATCACATTCTTTCTCCTACATACTGAGAGGTCAAATGTACTATTTGACTTAAGGCTTTTTTTTTTTTTTTAAATAGATCTGTAACACCAACCCTGATCATTCAGCAATACCAACCTGTACATAATCTTGCTAAATCCTCATCACTGTACCACTAATTTATAACAGGCTGGTTTCTGCTTTCTATGTTAACCCATGTTAAACTAGCCTGCTTGCCTTTTTTCCTCCAGATATACTTTCCCTGGCCACAAACTTACATCCTTTAGTTAAAGGATACAAGTAATCTGATAGCTTTCACTGGCAAAGGAAAGTCTGCAAAAACTCTCACCTCATGCATCTTCAGGGCAAATGTTCTCCAAGACACTTGGTAAAAGAGGTTCTTTTTCCGTTATTCTTTGTTTTTTGGCAGATAGATTGAGCCAGATGCTTCTCTTGGACTTATTTATTTATTTCCCTCAAGCAGTCTCCAGCAATTGCTTCTGCTTCTAAATTATTTAAAGCCGCATGACACCAACTCCCCTCTGATCTTTTGTTGCATAGATTGCTAATGGGCAAACAATCAAAGAACTTAAGAATTTCACTTGAAAACATTTTTTTGTTTGTTTGCTCTGTCCAAGCCATCTTAGTGTCATAGACTGGCTGCGCATCTGGTATAGCTTATTCTTATTCCAGAGGGAAGGCTGGATGTTGACATGTGCATTTCTGGCACCAAATCCTAACAAACTGAAACTGTCATCAGAATCAAGGTAGCATGGATGTTAGTGCACATGTAAACCTTCCTGCAAAGTTTTGATCCCTCTACGAATTAAAAGTACCTAATCTATTTCATTCTCCACTCCATCAGAGAGGATTAAAACTTTAACTTCTGAAGTGACCTCTTAGGTGCTTCTGATTTAATTCTACCTCTTCTTTCAGAGCAAGGAGAGTACTTAGTAAGTTTTAAAATATAAATGTTAAGCAGGAACAGGAGAAAATTTCATACCTCCAAGGTATTTGGGCCAAAACATTAGGTACAGTATCTAAACTTCGAACCATTTAGCAACATCAATATTAATGCTTCCACTGACTGGTGGAGAGAATTAACCTCAAATGTCCTTCCTTCACAACACTTTAAAATTTTCTTTCTAGCTTTGTTCTCAGAGATTTTCTCGCAGTGCCCATGGTGCCCATTTCCTCACCAAAGCAATGAAGGTCCTGCACAATGTATTCCAAAGAGATGGTGGCATATGTGTGACAGCCCCTCCTCCTTATCTCTAGTTGTTAAATCCCACTAGTAGACACCATTTACAACTAATGACTTTTTGCCATGTCTCCAGTTGATGTAGCCACTGAGAGTTGCTAACGTATCACAAGCAGGAGGGTAACAGCCTACAGTGCAAGCTGTAGAAAAATATGTTTTCCCCATTGGAAACAAATAAGAGAAACATATTGAGAAAGCAGTATTGCTTTCTCTATAGTTAAGAAGTATTGTGGGCCAGACAGAACTGCCATTTGCTACTGCACGTAGAATTTGAGTCTTTATAGAGGGAGCAGTCTAATTTACTTAACAGGTAAATCACTGCTGTATTAACAATACGATAAACCTTTGAGATTAGCTCCCTGTGTCGCATAAAGTGGAAATTATCAAAAGGTACTGCAAAAGGTCACTGCATCAAGTTAGGAGCAAGAACATGCCACAGGGTCTCCTAAGTGCTCTGGTGTAAAGCGTTCTGTATGAGCATATGAAGCATGAGTAGGCTTTCTTGGCGTTGCCATATCGTCTCATCTAGAGATGTCATCAAGCCTCCAAAATAGCTCAGGACACTACAATCCTTACAGTTTACCAAAGAAAGGGTGAGGTAGGACATCGGATTCTCTCAGCAATTTAACCTCAGTCACCCAAAACATCCAGAATAATCCAAGAAAAAAGAAAGCACACCTCAGAAAACAAACTCCAAAAGGATGTCTGCATTATTGCAGGTTGGTGTCACTGCACCAACTTCAAGAAGACTTATGGCAACATAAAACTGGGGTAGCACAGTGCCCATCAGGGACAAGATGTCCAAATACCTTGTACAAAACCATCACATACTGAATCCAAAATTTCTGATCTGTCCCAGATGCTGCTTTTAGACTCAGGAGAGCTTCCAGTTGCTAAAAACCAGGATCTTGAAAGCTACCACAAATTAATTCAATGCACCAGCTTCTTCCTCACCTGAAGATGGATGGCTTCTGTCAAGTGATCCAACAGCAATCAGGCAGGTGGGAATCCAGCTAGTTTCCTTAGCAGAGGGAGCATACCTTTTCAATTACAGCTTACTGCCACACTCCTGCAGTGGATTTCAACCCATCCTGGGAAAACAAGAACATTTTGTCCATTTATATGCTGCTGATTACTGTTCTGTATAATCAGCCTGCTACCCTAGAGCATGGCATGTGTCTAGCAGCAGGGCAGTTTCTAGTAATGTTTGGTTCTATTTCTGACACAAGTCTACAGATCTGTTGTGAACACCCAGTCATAGTGGCAATCGCTAATGTCCAGAGATCTCTCTGTTTTAAGTAGAACAGTATAAAGCATGTAATAAAACCACCCGAAGAGAGAAGAGACATATCTGATTAGGAATACAGGCAGTTACCGTATGCATCTTACTCATGCAGAGTATGGTATTTTCTTATCAACAGAAGAGAAGAACAAAGAATTTCTCTCTAATATATTCCCTGCTGGGCCCAAATTAATGCTGTATTTTCTTGTCAAACCACTGTAGCTGAAGCCTTCCCCGCATGCCTTTCTCTCTCAAGCTAACTAGGACATATCAGGATTATCAAATACAAATACAGATCTGTATCTGCTCTCTCTGAAAGCTAGCATATTTTTCAATTTTGTCTTCTCAAACAGGCTTAGATGAAGCTTTGTCATGCCACACAAAGCACCGCAGTCCCCCTTTCCAAATATCACCACTGAGAGAATCAAAGAAAATCTCCATTAAATTAACCTTGGGACGTTGTCCCCCCACAGCCCTTGTAAACAGCTCTAACAAGCCCAATGTCAAGAAAAATCCTATGGGCAGGAAAAGGCAGGCAGACTCAAGCTAAGACTTTGGCAAGGACACTTTATGCAGGCCAGGGACACCTCCCCAAACACAGCCCTCCAGCTGTAGAGAGCCCCTAACATCTGCTGCCTTCACAGAGGTCTCCCTCCTGCTGACCACACCACTCCTCAGCCAGGCTACCAGCAGGTCCATGGCTGCAGGTTGCCAGTAGCCGACCTTTGCTTGATTCCAGGGCAAATCTATCCCTTTCTTCTCCTTCTACTACACTGCAAGCCTTTCAACATGGGCTGAGCCCAACATCCCACATCAGTTCCTCACACCCCAAGTACTTTTGCTCTTGTGGTTAGAGTCCCAGCAACACGTTCAGAGAAGCTACCAACCTTCTGAGTAACTCTTTCTGAGTATTTGCAAATTCAGACTTGGTTTATACTCAGTAATGTGTTTCCTTTAAAGCAGTAAGAGATAGAAACTTATTCCTTCATTTAAATTAACCAGAGAACTAAGATTCTGGAATCACCTGCCTCCAAAACTAGGGCCATAAACCCAGGCCAATAATGCCTGTGCCTTAGTCTAACCAAACTGTACATAATTGCTATTTGTATCGCTAATGTTCAATATTCTTAAGGAGTTCCTCTTTTAAGAGGAGAGAAACAGATTTAAATATCACATGAACACTTTTTTTTTTTTAATCATATTTTATCTTACTCATGTTCTAAGGTTTTTCAGCTTACAGACTGTACTGAGACCAAATCTTCAGGCTTCTCTCTACAGTCATGGAAGGCTTATCAACAAGGAAGCAGAATTACTCAGCTACTTGTCTCCAAGAGCTATAGGTTTAAGTAGACATCAGATGCCACAAGTTAATAGCACTGTTTGCAAGGGGGGGTCCCCACAGTCTGTACCCCTCCCCCCAGGATAATAAGGATACAGTAACTGTTATTTACCTGGTCCTTCATGTCCATGGTGTCTAAGCAAGCCAGAAAGATATGAGATACAGGAGATAAAGCATATCATGGCTTCTGCACAGGAAGCCAGAGTGCCTGCCTAGACTAAGCAAAAGCCCAGAGCTGGTCACGTCTCTGGGGTGAAGGTCTTAGGATGCAGCATTCCAAATACGATAAACTACCATCAGCCAACATGCACCTCACAACTTATTTTGCTCTCCACTGAACAGAGGTCACTCTGCTCCTCCCAGCTATGTCCAAACACTGCAGTGATGTGCAATGAAGACAAGCCCAAAGGGAGGTTCATTCAACAGGAGGTGCTCAGTGAAACCTAGATGCATAACTGGAGACTTTGTTTCAGCTGGTGCTTCTTTCTCAGTACATTAGAAGTAGATTCCACAGTGTCAAATATAACCTTGAGCATTCAGGTTAATTTATTTAAATAGATATTAAAAGGAAAGTGTTAAGTGAATACATCAAGTCTGAGATCCCAAACAGTTCCTCATTCTTTCCCTCTCCTTTAATCACCTTGAATGTTGTAAGGACTAATGAGTTAATTTTCTTAAGAGCTTTGAAGGTGAGGAGAGTTGGATAATTACTAAATATGATTCTTCCTTGTGCTATTTTCCAGCTCCTCTAGCACCAGTCTATCCTTGCACGACCTTAACAAAGTGCAGCTATGTCATTCCTTGAATTCTACTGCTTACCCACTCCTAAAAGAGCAACTTTGAACGATCCAAAGGTGGCCAAATTGGAGAGTCTTCTCACCACTGCAAGGCTTACAGATGTGAACTCTTGCAAACCACTGATTTTCATATTCATATGGAAACAATGGGATTTTAGAGGAGTTTCAGGTGACAGTAAACCCAGTAGAGAATAGTTAACAAGGAGAGGGGGAGCAAAGAGAAGAATACTGACTTCAGTATTCAGTATACAGATACTGTCAGCCCAGCAAAATTCCTAGAACAGGTGCTTCCCATCTGGCCATACAGTTTCCGTAATGCCCTGTTAGTGGTCTGGCAGGCAACCTCTGAGGGATTTAGCCGCAGCGGGTTAGCACATTACCATTCCCAGCTGTCCTCTCTATCTCCCTGCTGGAATCACCACTCCCACAGCGAAGCAGGCAGATGGGACTTGTGCGGTGCATTCAGCTGCCCCATCTTACAGTCCCTGGTCTCAATACACCCCCATGTTCAGCAGTAGCTGGAGCTGGCAGCCCAACCTATCAACTACAGGAACTGAGGCATGAAAGTGCGTTCCCTTCTGTTGTCCCTGTTATGGGGGTAATAAGCTCCACCAAAAGCACAATGCTTGCAGCCCAGAGGATCACAGACCATTACAGATCTGTCTGAACTTACTTAATTAGAACAGGACCTTCTATCAAGAACAAGAGCAGGAAAAGAAATTCTAGCAAGAAAAGAAACTTCTTTGAGCATCTAACCAGTACTACTCCTGTCTGTTCAATCTTCTAGAATAATCCAGCCAAATTCATCTCTGCTAGCACCTCACAACATTAAACCAAGCTGAAATCTTGCACAGTGGTGCCACTATACGCAGCATGCAAGGAAATCCATGTACTAGGCCAATATGGCAAGAAATCTCCCCCACGGTATTCAGAAAAGGGTGAAATGCGTGAGGTCAGCTGGCATTATCCCAAGTGCCTGGTGATCAGTGGCAGGACGCCAGCAACATCCCAGATTTACCTCTCACAGAGTAGGGTTGTACTACTTCTGTAGTAACAGAAGCCAGTCATTAGTGAAAGCTGTGCATTCAGTGCTGGATACAGTTGAAAGCTCAGTATTAGCCACAGCATTGAGTTCAAATAATGGGTCTAAGCAATCATGTAGCAAATCAATTATTTACAAAAGACGAAGACTTGCTTCCTTCTGAAAGAAGTTGCCTGAAAGGTTTTTACAATTGCCTAGAAAGAAACTTGAATCAAAATCTTACTCCTGGGCACTTCATTGCAAAGGTTGCAACCTAAGCCCTTCTCATACAAAATACAGAGACATAAAAAATGCCCTTTTTGCCCCCAGTAAGCACATGCTCACTGCTAAACTTCAATGTGTTTGCAAAATTTCCATCATCACTTTAAGTCCTGGTAATATATCAGAGCTTAACTGGAAAAGCAAAACTCTGCAACCACTTCAAGAGTTTCTAGCTTTAATTATGAAAGAGGTAGCAGATTGAAGGGAGTGGGTGGAGGGAAGTCTGGGAACATACAGTACTGTGCACTATGAAATGTTGCAGGGAAGTGGAAGGCTGAAGGGCAGCCCCACGTATTTTAGAGATTTAATGGTAAATGTTATTGCTCTGCACATGTGAAAGACATAACATGTATTTTTTTCAGTCTAACCAGCTCCCTTCAGATTTGAGGCAAACAAGGAAGAATAAGTATTAAACCTCCATAAGAAACACAGAGTGACTCACAGTTGTGCATCTGAAATGAAGCACAAAAATGGCAACTACATCGAGTTGCCTTTGCCACAGATGAGGGATTCCTCAACATTTAAAGGAAGAGGAGCATAGCACCTTACCTTTCTTCAAGGTGCACAGCTGAACTTGTTACAGACAGATGGTTGTCTCTGGTTGGAGATGGTTGGAGTCTCTGGTACTATGGCTCTGGCAATAAAGCCATCCTTTCAGCTGATTTCAGCA